GAGGGTAATCTACAACCTTTAAAATACCAATACCTTCAAGTAGAGGCATAATCTACACTCTAATAAGAAGGAATTAGCTCTGATATGAAAGATGAGTGTAGTCTCGATAAATTGTCACAAATTTAGAATATTGACTGGAAATCTAAACAAGAAACTCAAGAAGAATCGCCAAGAATTACATTAATGACATGAGTTCAAAAACAACATTAGAGATGTGAGTTAGAGCTTCAAGAGGTGTATTGTCGAGACTAAGGATCCCCTCAATCACGGCTTCTATATATACTACAAGCTAGCTATATATACTATAAGCTAAGAAGCTTCTTAAGTAGCTTCCACAAACTAAAAAGCTTCTGAAGCAGCTTCTACAAGTTATAAAGCTTCTCAAGCAGCTTCCACAAGTTAGGAAGTTTATCAAGCAACTTTCACGAGCTTGAAAACTTCTCAAGTAGCTTCTACAAACTACAAAGCTTCTCTAGAACCTTCTAAAATCTTCTACAATTTTTTAGTGTATGTCCTTAATAACTTCTCGGGTAGGACAATTCTTGGTTCTCTAATACTTGAAGAGTGTTCCACAATAGAAGATGGGACATGATTTCGTGCAGATATTGAAGCAACTCTAATCATTTCTATATCTTCACTTCCTGTTAATCTTGTTACTCCTTGTAGTGATAAATTGAGTTGATGCATCGCAAGCATTAACTCCCTCAATTGCTCTTGCATTTGCACCATTGCACTTTTTATTTCAACAAGTTTTGCCATGATAACACTTAGAAAAAAGAAGTTGTCTAATATTGCTCAAGACAAATAGAAGAAAGGACTTGAGAAACAAAGAAAATACTAAGAATAATATCAGTTTAGAAGAGGGTAATCCGCAACTTCTAATATGCTTATGTCTTAATAAGAGAAAGAGATAATCTACTCTTAATCAAGATTAGACAAAGCTCTAATATTCTAGGTGTACTCTTGTCAATTTGTCAAGGACAAAAACATGATAAAGACAAATAAACAAGTGAAACTTCTCTCATATAAAGATGACAAAATAGAAATAACTTGATATATATATAAAGAAAGAAACTAGAATAGCTATTGCCAAAAGACAAGAAAACTAGAGATGCTTGAAACTAGACTATAAGAAAGAAAAAAGTTGACAAGAGTGAAGGAGGCTTCACTCTTGCCTCTATATATACTATCTACTTAGGAGCTACGTGGCGACATTCTATAGGACCTCCAAAAATGTATTGACTTTGAACAATATGTATCTTAACTTATAAGGCAAGTTTTTTATGTAGGTGCCATATAGTTAGCTTGTTCTGCAAGCTACCAATATGAGTGGCATGTGATTAACTTGTTGACCAAGTTTCTAACCTATCAATCAAGCATAAAGACATATAAAGTCAAAGCAACGTCTTTGAAGCTTCTAGGAAGCTTATCTAGAAGATATTATGAAATTAATCTACTTTTACATACTTCTACATATTCATGTCATTTAGGTAATAATAATAGTAAATATATGTCTGTGACACTATAGTATGATTGAAGAGACTATGCAATTCAAAATTTTATACTATACTTTCAAAAAGGTGGAGATGGGAGTTGAAAAGGCTTATCACCTCTTGGATATCATAATTCCAAGCATAGATGTATTTCATTGCACACTTAGTCTATCCTATATTTATATGATTCATGATGATCTCACATCATCCATTGATGGGTTGACCATAGATATTTTTTTTGACCATGGTGGCTTAAAAGAATGATAGTTGTGACTATTGATGGAGAATTTGACTTGCTCGGATAAGTTTTATAATAAATTGAAGAATGTCATGAGTATCTTTTGCTACATCAATAGTGGATGTTGTAAGAGAAACTTGTTACATTATCACAAGAACAAATAATACTTCTCCAAGATCTGACAATTACATGCACATAAGAATGGCTCAAAAGAGTATGTAGATGCCATCCCAATAATGTCACAAAGAAAGAGCCAATGGCTTTTAAACTCAAGCCATTAGTCCTTTTATTAAGTTGAACTTGCAATCAATGATGATTGAAAAATGTAGTCTAATTAAAAGGGAGGTGTGCACCAAATAGAAGGAAGTGTACGCATAGTTAATTCCTTTATTTTTAGATAAAGATGCTTAATTATAATAAAATTTATAAGATTAAAATCATTACATCAAAATTGTTATTCAAAAATCTACACATCCAAAATATTAGATATATGTAGTATTTATCAAAGCATGATAAATATGGTCTTAATTCACAATAGATGAACAATCAAGTGTAAAATATTATTTACAAATGATCATTGATTATAAAAGAAATGGTGATAACTCTGAAAAAGAGTATATGAAATAGGACTAGATTATCTCTAAGATCCAAGATCCTTCTAATCCATAGTAATATAAATCCCCTCACAATGTAAGATAATGTAGACCAAAATAAAATTGAACAAAATTAAACAAAATGGAACATGAAAGACAAAATAGAGCAAAAGAGAATAGAATAGAATTGAACAAAAAAGTGCAAAACCAAACTTTATTAAGAGAAAGGCATCCAAATAGCTTTGGCTAGTCCTATTTATACTTTGTCCAACCATTCTAGAACTTTTTAGAATATTCTTAATGGTGGACTCCACCTAAATAACCACCTTAAGTCCTTTTTAGAATATTTTATGGTGGATCCTACATAGACTACCAACCTAGCTTCAATTTTAGAAACCTCTAAAAACTTCTAAAAACTTCCCAAACATGGTTCTAATTACCTATTTCTATGCATTGACAATACAAATATCTTAACCATACCTTATTACAGTATTGATATTCTGAATTCATTGAAATTATTAATGATCTTAGTTTTCTTTTATTTTCTTTACATTTATAATGAAACTAAAAACCAAACAAGAAAATTTATAATAAATAATCATTTTAATATACAATATCTACTACATTAGTTAATACAATATAATTAAATAACATACAAATCCTAAAATTTGTGCTTAATTGTATTTAATTTGTATAAAAAAAATTAATAAGTTTATATATATCATACTAAAAATATATATATATTGATAAAATATATATTTAATATACTAAAAATATATCTAATGATAATTATTAAAAGACATCTAGGAAAGTATCACCTAGAATAAAAGATTATTTTTTAATATAAACATGTTGTATTACTAGAAGACCTTATAACAAAAAAATAAAGCATAAAAAAATTTAAAATTAAAATTAAAATGTAAAATATTTAATAACTAGAACAACTATCAAAATTCTAAGTTCATCCAACATTTTTATTTTTCACTGCAAATGTGATTTGATAATATCAATACATGGCTGTGATGCAAATACATGATTTAATTATTAATTTATTTTTTGTCACGATAGTTGTAATAGATATCTTAAAATTTTTAATAGTTTTTCAAAATCATAATATTATATTTAATATGAAATGATAAACAAAATGATAAAAAAAAATTGAAATAGCATAGTTCTTAAGTTTGATTAATTTTTTGAATAAAAAATTTAGAAAATATTTTATTCTAATATGCAAAGTTGTATCTATGATATTAGAATTAGTAACTATTTAGAAAGTTTGATTCAAATATTAAAACAACAATAAGAAGATTATAGTATTTTGAATTTTTTTATATCTTAAAAATAAACTTGACCTTTATGTATAAAAAATGCAATATAGGGAATGTTGCCAAAGTTTTAGGAATATATCACACAAAAATTAAGTGGAATGAATATAAAATGAATTTTCAAAAAATCAAGTAGTAGAAACCAAAATTTGGAATTGAATTGAGTGATATTACAAAATTTCTTTCAAAAGATTTTTTTGGCCATAGGCAAAATGAATGTATGGATTTATGAAGTGCAAGCAATACAAAATTATTCATTTTGAAATATATTAATTATAGCATCTTCTTAAGTAAAACACTTGATGTCAAATTAGATAAGATTGAATGTTGTTATTAAGCAAGTAAAATATTTTTTACTTTTAGATAAATGTACTTCAGTAGCAACCAAGGCAATTTAGTGAATATTAAAAATTACATTTATAATCCAAGTAAAAGACAATTTAAATGAGATCTTATTTGGATTCTGTCAAGATGAACAAATTTTAAAAACATATATATATATATATATATATATATATATTTACATTTTTTAAGAGTAACTTATTTTAGGTTATATCAATATTAAAAATTGCTGTGATTGATTAAACAACAATCTAATACTAAAAGGCTTGAAGACCTTAGAATAAATTACATATTAAATGGGTTCTATTCAAAAAATAAAATAAAATAAAATAAAAGTAATACCATTAAACAATTGCTACCTTACTAAATTAATGTTAAAAATTTACAAACGGAAATAATTAAAGGCATTGACTATACTGATAAAAGGAAGGGATTAAGAATCTCTTCTACTAAGAAAATGTATATATATGTAAAAATTTAAATAGCAACAAAAATCTCATTACTACAAATACTTATTCATGACATATTTTAAGTTTATTAAGTGATTTTAAAATAAATATTTTAACAAAAAGAAAAGTAAAATTTTGGGAAAAAAATCATTCTTATAATCAGAATCATAAATACTAATCAGTAGTTACTAAAATATAAATATTTTGTAATTACCATAATAAGATAAAATTACTAACACATTAAAACTGCTGTTTTTTTTAATAGAAATTTGTCAAAATTGAGTTACTAGTGCAACAATAACATAAGATACAATAACAAATCAAAATTCCAACAATTGTATACATCATAGTAGAAGAATAATATAGAGAAAAAATAAAATAAATAAGTAAAACCAGAAAGATATAGACCAAGATATAGGAGAAGAAAACACACACACACACATGAAGAATATAGATATAATTAAGTTCAAAAACCATAATTAAGTAAATAACATGACCATATGAATAAATTGGTAATGATGTCACGGTCGTTGCTCTGGAATAGAAACCCTAAACCTGTTTCGTCTTTACGTCAAGGCCTTTTTCGGTTCCCTTTCTCGAGACCGAATTTGCTCATCGTCACTTCACTCTTGCAGATCGTCGTTGCGATCTCCGGTTTCGATGAAAAGGAGACGATGACCATGTTATCACGATGTGGAGATTGTCTCTTAGTCTTCCCGTGCGCTGCCGTGGAAAATAGACTGGAGGGGGTTAGGGTTCGGTAGTGTTTTGCAGTTATGCAATTAGGGTTGTTTTGATTTAATTTCATTCGACGGAGACGGTTGTGAAGGGCAAGCGATACTATTTGGCAATTGGTTGAGAGGAGCTATGGATTTGGAGATTGGAGGAGACAAATGTACCCTGATGGACTGACCAGTTTCGATACATCGTCAATAATATGTCGAGGCAAGTGCAATATATGATTGACCACAGCAATCTCCTCATTGTTGAGATAAATCTGAACTATGAAGTGGAAAGTGCCGGATGGTCTCACTCGGAATGTGCAGCTCATTCGGCAACTCAACTGTGATGTCGGGGAAATAGTGCATTTCTATGTAAACATGTCGTCGAAGTTTCGTTTTGTAATATGTTTGAAGAGCTGCAAGAGGTGAACTCGCTCCAGAATAATACTACCTTCAGGTCCGTTTGAAATGGATGTAGTGGTACGCCAGGGATGCCTTCAGTGCTATCGAAACAAAAACCACACACAAGAAGTTGCGCTCCGCAGACTTCTTTCACATGCGAGGTGAAGTGGATGGTCTCAGATCTCCCTGGGAAAATGCATTGTATTCTGATTCAGTTGCTGAGATTTGAGTGTCTTGGTATTTGATTTCACCATATCAGATTGGACGTAACATGTACATTTTTATTGTCAAACTTGCTTTATTTTCGTGCTGCTGCGACAATGACTTACTTTCGTGTAACTGAGTCATTTTAGACTGGCTAAGAGGATGATTTTTCCTTAAATATTGGAAGGTGGCTAGAGCTCTTGTTGCATAGTATTACCGTGTTGCATCGCTGTAGTATTCATTTTTATTGCCAGAGGTAGGCGCGGTCAGCTACTTGAATTTTCCTACTGTATTGATATCTAGAAATGTTCTAATTGAATACGCGCTGCTTGATTGCATTACGGTCATGGTTCTCTTGTGTTTTTGAGTTTGATTTGTTGCAATATCGATTGACGTTTATTACCGGTTCTCTATCCTGTCGAGATGTTTCAAGCTTCATAGTAAGTGCTTTTTGACTTGACAGGACTGTATGAAGCGCGTATGAGAACGAACCAAACTTTGTTCCCTTTTGTCTTTCGCTTGTCCTTTGTGCATATTACTTGTTAGCCGTGAAAACCGAAGAGTTTCGGGATGTGTATCCAAAATTTGAAGGGTTAGACATGTGTAAACTCTAACGGGATGCAAGTTCCTTGTAGTAGAAGAGTATTTTGTCATTTTTTGGTGTTTATGTCCTGAATGAATGTCATCAACGCCATAGAAACTGCAGAGTATGCTCAGCCTTTCATCTTTGGAAAATCCTATCACATTTTTGGACACTTTGTGACTCTGTCTCAGTCACTGCAGTATGCTTGAATTCTTAAGCATGTTGAATAGGTATTAAGTTTCACAGTACTACATTGGTGCATTGCGTGTATCGGGGAATATGGACACTGCTTACTGGCCATTATACACAATGGGTAAGCACTGAAGTTTGTTCGTCTGAATACCTGAGTTTTGAGGAACGATATCGTGAATGAAGGAACAATCCTTGATTAGGCGACTTGACGGCTATGTGCAACACCATTTGGTATTCTAATTAAAAGGATCTAATGCTTTTGGATGCCAAAATCAATCCGCGTCTCCATTACCTAAAATTGAGATGGTTAGCAACTATTTCAATGCGAAAGATGAAACCATTTGAATCAAGTTAGGTAACCTGTCTACTTGGGAAGTCTTTTAAGTTCACACCAGGACAGGGAGATGAACTCCTTGTTGGATTATCTGGATGAAGGTGTGTCGATGGCAGATAAGGAATAAGATGCCTATGGACGCAAAGACAGTGACAGCACTAGGTATGGTGAACTAACTCTATATTATTTTACATGCTTCCACAGCATCTCTTGAATAACATTAATTTGTGAGTGGTTTTCAATTATAGTTCTGTTTACCAGCGCCACAATGTACTATCATCATTTCTAGCTACAGGAGCATCGTTAAGTAGAGATTTGGAAAGTCAAAACCAGTGCATGACATTTTGATTGCTATCATTTATACCGGGACATCTAGGTTGTGGTCATGTATTTTCCTTCAAAAATCTTCCCGGACAGTGCAGTTTGGATGTGAGAGCACATTCCTCGGTACTTAGGGATTAAACACTTAGAATCAAGTTCGAGCATTTGACTTGTGTGATTGGACTTCAATGTTAACCTCCTTTACACATGCGTATTGACCACGTCTGATGGAGGTTCTCGTATCATTGATCGTTTGGTGCAAAGTTCATACCGTGTCTAGTGAGAACCAGTGTTGATTCAAGCTACCAATTTGCACTTACATCAGTCGTGTTCAAGTGCACTCCTGGTTCTCTTGTTCGTATCCTTTCTCAGAAATTAGAATATCATAATGACTTGGTGTACAAGAGCCATCCACTGGCATTATGAATAGATCTCTGCACACTTTAGCTGTAGACTGCATGTTCAAAATGCTGCTCCTCTCTATGTATATGTAAGGGCATTTTGTGAGACCAATCTAGGTGAAGTTGAGAACAGTTTGTGTTTCATTGTATCAAAACTGATGATTGTGATCATTAAACAAATGTTGTTTCATTACCAGCCAAATACATTTTGTTATGAGTTGGATCTATGTGCAGGATTGATTTCAAGGGGGAGGTGCTGGTGGGACAGTCTGATGGCATGCAAGAATAAATCTGGTGGAAGACACTGTTGTCACAGAGACAAGAGCCCCCCCCCCTGTGAAATGTCACTTTCAATATGCCAGTCTGTTTGAGATTGCACTTGGATTGATATCAGTGGATTACAGCGTGTTCTGTAAATGAGTCTCTGATATTTTACCAGAAAGAAAAAGGACAGCATGCAGTCAGCAATAGATCTTGAGAGTATGAATCTAGTGTGTGCATCAACTGTAAGTTTAAGTCTGTTGGGATTGTATGAACCCTGGCCGCTGCACGGATGGATTGTACTTCTTACTTCAGTAACTTGACTTGACTGTGGAACATGTGAGTAGCTAATGTTGCCATCACAAAAAAAAAAAAAAAAAAAAAAAAAATAATAATTGTTGGTTTGTTTTTTTGATTAGGACTGAAGTGCTGGGAGGATTTTTCTTTTTGCTCCGTGGCTCCTAGCTGTCACAGGAGAGGGACTGCTTCCTGAGCTTAACACGGTGGAGTGACAGTTGTGGTATTAGTGGTAACTGTACAGCTTGTCTCTCAAGAGTTCAGATCAGTCTTGGTGATATATCCACAACCTTGTCATGGCTGCAGCCAGCTGCCAGAGAGGACTCTTTGAGCATCATTCCATTCACAATTGTGTATCTCATGGCTGGTCTCACCTAATCATAATCAGTGTGCACGCAAGGCAATGTTTGTTAGTACAGAACCTGACAAAGTACACCATTGTTAACCAGTTTTTTTCACCCTTGCAGCAAAACTTTTGTCCTCAAATGGAACAAGCGATGGCATTTTTTTTCTGCAGGCAGAGGGATTACCTCCACAGCATATGGCTGCCTCTAATCAGGTTTTGTTGTAGCATGCTGTCGTGGCATCAGAAACCCTAATTGCGTTGGATAAGCACTCTCTCTCTCTTTCTTCCACGTCTCAAGCTGTTCTTGGTCTGGAGTCGGTTAAATGCGCCATGCATTTGGCCCCTCCTGGGAACTGTATGCTCTACCAACTGGTGTATCGGATGAAGACGTATGAGTGATGTGGATTGGGGGCTGCAGAAGCCAGCACATCACTGAGCTGCCAGGTGGTCATCTGAACCCCAAGCAACAGCGTGTTGGTCATACAACTATTGAATGTGTGACATGTACCTAGTTATGGGGTCACAGTTTCCATACACCATTCTGCCAGCTATTGCTGCCTCACTCAATTACACATTTTCGCTACATGGCAGCAGCTTAGCCAGCGTTTGCTTTTATCAGGCTGACTGTCGCAGATATTTTTGTGTGCAGTTTGCTTCGCTGAAGCAGCGGCCATGTCTCTATCGCTCGCTCTCTCTCTCTCTCTCTCTCTCTCAACTGTTGAGTAACTCATGTCAGCCTCCCTATACCAGTTGTCAACCAAGTGTTCTCCCTTTCAAGGGCGAACTTGTGTGACTCACTATACGTCACCCTGCATTGGAGAAGCTCATGTGATTTCATGTGCCTTTCGGTTAAAAAGACCCTCGTTGCATCAAAAACGTTCCCCTCCTGGTGGGCCTGAATGAAAACAAATTGGAACTGAAGCAGAGAAACTCTTCTGTTTCCTCACGGCCGACTTCTAGCCGAGTCAATGTCCTTGTTCACAAAAAAAGAACCCCTTATCCCCCGACTCGCACCTTCTCGTGATGTGTCGTATCCTCGTAGGTGCTCTGAACCTCGCCTCCCCATTCTTCCCGAACCCAGTGCCTATCATGGCATTGTCGTTGCAGGAAGCTCTCCCACCTACACTAGATAGGCCATTCCTCTTCCTCTGTTGTGGACATTCACCGGTGCGTCTCACTCTCCCCCGCCCCATTTCGTCAAAGGTCCTTTTTTGAATCCACAGGGAGCTGCATGTGTTTGAGCGTGTGCATTCTGACTGAGTGTATGAGTGAGGGAAGCAGAGTTTGCCGTGACGGTTTGTGAATTGCAGCTCACCGGGGGAAATACGGTTGCTCATCATGCTGCAACCCAGATAGGCACAGTCGCTGACCTGGACCCCACGCCAAAGCCAGGTTGATGAGAGTTCTGTCAGTGCCAATTACCGCCAATTGGTGACAATTCCTCGCGATCAATTGCGCGAGAGCCGGGCTCCGATGGGGTAAGCGCCGGTAGGGCCCCGCTTGGCGTTGATCCAACCCAATGGCGACGACGAGAGTGTGACCTACCTTGTAGCCCTCGGTTAAGAAAATAATGGATGTGGACCCAAAAAAGTAACGGAAAAGGATAGAGAGGAAGGCAAAAAAAAGTTCATTCATGCGGCGTTGCCTTTTCCTATTTTATTCGATGTCCAGCTCCAATCCTGATAAACAATCCCTTGACCCTCCAGGTGGCACTTAGCGACGCCGCCAATGGGGTGCAAGCTTTGCATAGCTGGCAATGACACTCTGGAACTCGACCCCCCCGCGTCTCCCGTTCACACCTTCACGGAGAATTAGGATTGTGGAGTAGAGTGGAGGAAGTTGCGTAGGAGGTGCCCGGGCTTCCGACGCCTTTCACTTTCCTGGCTGTCATTGAGGCAAGAGTTCAAAAGCTTGCACGTAAAAGACAGTAAGACAGTTCTTCTTCTTTTGAAAAAATATATAATAATCATTAATGAGGAAAATAAAGTTCGTGAATTATATTGAAAGTTGTCTGCTTTTCAAGCTGTCGTCTAAATGTTATCCTGAAATTGACTCGTTTGATCTCCAAATGTCTATTTAAACTGAGGTTTGATACTTTTTTTTAATAGTACGATCATTAGATCATGATATACCTTCACAAATGCATATTTTGGATAGAGCAGGTGAAGAAGGATGTAACAAAGCCGCTTATGTTATGTTCCACTTTGAATATACAACGCTCCATAAAAATCATTTCTGATGCAATGCATTCAAGAAAGGATGTTTGTTCGTGAATGTGTTTCAAAAGATGAAACTAATAATGGATAATGATGTAAATGGTATGATTGGTGAGTACAAGATTTTTATTTTCCTAACTTGTAAATAGTTAAAACATGGCCTGTATAAAAGTTTTAAGGTAGGTTTAAAAAATGCATTTTGGAAGTCTCTTTTACTTTTATTCTGTTTTACTAGAACCCTGGAGTGTTGATCACTTTCTTGACCCAAATGTAGCCTTCTTTTACATGTACTTAATCTGCAAATATAGACATAAAACACATAAAAGTTTACTTGACATGGAAATTATTCAAAAACAAACAATCAAACAAACAAACAAACATCGATATTCAAAGCTTGAATCCATCACACCTCATTTCCAACATCATTTCATTCTATTTCCAAGTATACCTTTTCCTATTTTCTATTCTTTTGTGCAAGCATTCAGGCCTTCATCTTCTTCTTCTTTTTCCTTTTCAAATGAGGAGCTCACATTACCCATAAATCTCTTTTCAACAGAAACCTACAAAACAAGACCACCCAAAGTGCTTGAAAGCCAAATAAGAAGTTCACAAGTCGCAGAGATGCTTCTTTTTGCCCGTATCTTCTTTTTAATGGACCACCTTTATTCTGATGTTACAACCGTAAACAGAACACATCCCAAGGTTGCACGTCTTTACTTATTGTATTATTATTCCCATTCTGAACAACTGCTTCAGAATCGGAAACAAATATGTATTTATACACATACATTTAAAAATACATATTCATACCATTTAACACAAAAAAACAGACAAGGAAGAATCAGTTATCAACAAAAACTACAAAAACTGTGTCTCACGGTGTATAACTATCCATCAGCAACTCAACACATCAAGTAGCTTGTTTCTACTAATAATCAGTTACAGAAATTGGAAAGATGCAGCAAGTACGTGCAATAGAAACATCTAAGCAAAACAAACACGCAATCAGTAAAAACTGTTAAACATAGCAGTTGCTAATGCTGTCGTAATTCCCACTGATTTACTATTTGGTTTTGATAGATTAAGAACCTCCTTCATGAATTTGAAGACATGCAGCCTCACATCTGTCCATGAATTTGTGAGCATCGGGTTGTTTTTGAATGAAGAAGCGGTGAGAAGTCCATTTATAGGGATTCCTGAAAATGGTGTCGAAGAACTTGGAAAGTGCTGGATCTTACGTCGAGACCGAGGCGGCGTCTCCGAACAACCCCAGAATCGAAACCCAGGGGCAATTCATCGCGCGACGTCCAAGTGCATCCCGACACAATCTGTGAAGGCGATGCTTTGGGTTCGCGGTTGGTGCACATGGCTGTTCTTCTCCATCCATGTGGCTTCAATGTTCGGAGCGTGTCAAAACTGGGTTTGTAAGCAACGAGTGCAGCTACTGTATGCAATCCAGGGGCTCAGGCCCAGAGCACACCAATTGAAACTCAGTCCCAAAAGGCGGGCCAGCTTCGACGTCCCAGCTCGGTATCACGATCTCACCAGTGCGATCGAATCATCCAGCTTCCGAAACCATCTCCCCGATCCTAATTCTAATGCGCGGATGGCACAAAATCCTGCCACTGGGGTTTACAGTGCAATTACACTCGGAGAGATCATAACAAACCAATTCGTGTGGGTATTGTTATTTAATCCTGGAAGTTATGGAAGTGGCGTAAAAACTCAAATTCCAAAGCCGCCCAAAAGAGCATCGTATCACCCATAAATGTTTTCCCATTCGGATTGGTCGTTGGAAGCGAGCGAGATAACGCTTGTCCGGCAGTGTGGCCACTTGTGATCCAGCTGCAAGCTCCCCGAGGCAATCTGCCGCGGGGACCCATTTCCGAGCGAAAGAAACGAGATTTTTCCTGGGCTCTACACGGCGATAGGAGATGATGAGATTACAGCCTTGAATGGATGTGCGTGAAGATTAATTCATCCAAAATCAGGTATCTGCTCACTCCCAGCTAAGCCAAGATGGATGAAGGTCCAATTCTGTACTGCGGCAAGAGTCCGGCATCCACTCAGCAGTCTTTCGGTGTCAGGTCCAATGAGAACGAACTGACGCTCAGACGGACGGGCGGACGGAAGGACAGATGGACGGACATTTTCTAAGGTGATTCTCTGGCCCCGTTTGCCAATTAAGATCCTGACAGAAGGGATGTGGTGGGACTCTGCCACGTGTACGTCGTAGCCGTGGTTGACTTCTGGAAGATTCCTTTTCCCGCCCTACGCATGGGATGTTGCTTAGTTCTGCTGCTGCTGCTGCTTCTGGGTCGACTTGATATTTTGTTCCATTTGTGGTGGTTCTATTTTTCTATTGTTTTATATTGTTGATGCTGGTTGGGCATCTTTGACGAAGAATGGGATGGAGATTGAGTAGTTGTTTATATATTTTTCTTTGCTGTTGTGAGACACTCTTATGGGGCAGTGACAGTGTGGGTTTTTGTTTTTAAAAGGGACCATGGCACGATTATTGATGGGGGTCCTCTCACCTTGGAGTAAGAAAGTACTCTTCCATTTTGGGTTGACTTAATGTGTGCTGGAAAGGAGTCAGTTCAGTGCAGCAAAAGTAACTGCTATGTATACTTTGGTACAGGTAAGTCCCCCCCCCCCATATGAGATTTTAGGTATCAGCAATCTCACATGCAATTTTGCAACCATACAAGCTCCCCAGTTTGAAAATTCATTTCTATGGCTTTGGTTGGGCTTCACATGCAGAGTGTGAAAAGCTGATGTATATACCTTGTGTGTCTCCATGGAGGTGGATCATGGCTTTGTGTAACCCTACCGTGGATTGTTTGGACATCATCCATGTTGACACCTCTCCACCACTTCAGGCCCAAGGCATTCAAATGAACCATGTGGCAAAGTTGGTGGAGTATACCAATTTCCCAAACCCATGTGCGAAGGTGCATCTCATTCAAGGTGTTTTGAAATGAAACTTTCCTTTTGAGGGTTTGGTGAAGATATTTGGGTGCACTTTGTCCACAAAATTAGAACATGTGTCTTGTACTTCAAACTGATAAAATAAAAAAATAAAAAAAATGAAGTCCTATGTAAAGGAGATTATATATATAATCATAAAAGAGGGGATGAAGAGCAATTGATGAAGGATGTTATATGATTTGTATTATTTTAATGGACAGTATAGAATATAGGTGTTTAGTTATCATTTGTAAATTGTGTGTGAGAGGGAGTATGTTCTTCATTATCACTCTGGTTAATTCATTTTTAGTCTACATATTAATCAAATTCGAGTTAAAGTGTAGTAAATATAATAAGATGTGCACTCAAATATGTGTGCATGCATATACAGCTTTGCAACCGAATTTTTGTATGACATGTTTATTAATATCTAATTAATTTGTGCAAAGTATGTTTAATTGTACACCAGTCATTGACTATTACAGCTTTATATTTAGGTCCTTTGTCATTGCATCCAATCCTACAATTATGTTGTTTTCCTCCACAAAATTAACAAGCATGAGAAACCACTGAAATTTGATTCAGAGGAATTTCATGCAAGTTTATGGCATTCAAAAATACACTTATGTGTGCATACATACATATGTCTGTATATATTTATACTTTCCTAAAATCAAAGTATGCAAATTTTCTGCATATTACCTAGGGAAAGTCAATGCTAATACAACACAATTGTAAATATTGAAAAAATATATTGCTTATAAATCATTCAAATGGTATTTAAAACCATGTGCTTGTAATTAATATATCACTGCACTATCATTATTGTTCTTGTAATAATATCACTATTAAACATGTAATGGCATCAACAGCATAATTTTGTTTTGTACAAAAGAGGTGTGGATCCGTTTCATTTTGTGCACCAATGAAAGCAAGGAAACACAAGAGAAATCTTAGTGGCTTTGAGTTGCAGTGATATATTTACAATACTGTATGTGGCTTTTGCAACCACTTGTGATGTTTGTTGACCCTGTATGTGTTTGTTATCTCTCTCTCTCTCTCTCTCTCTCTATATATATATATATATATATATGTGTGTGTGTGTATATGTGTTTGTATCTCTCTCTCTCTCTCTCTCTCTCTCTATATATATATATATATATATATATGTGTGTGTGTGTGTGTGTGTATATGTGTTTGTATCTCTCTCTCTCTCGCTATATATATATATATATGTATATGTATATAATTTATATTATTTGTTCAAAGCTGATCGAGTTTTGTTCTCCCAATTTGTAAATACTTAGAGTTGATACATTTCAAAAATATAAGTTGATTCAATTCCTACGCTTATTAATAATCTTGAAATATGTTCAAAGATGCAAAGTGCAAAGAATGGATTTCACTATGATGGTTATTTGCAACATTACAATTACACAAAAGATCTGTATTATAATCATATATTTTTTTTAAGCAATTGACTATATTATAATGTGAAACAAGAACTTTAAAATGTTACAGTGGAATAGGAACGGTGTGTAGCTTTATGAAGTCACACAAGTTTTCATCCAATACCCACTCAATTCAATGCACCTCAAGAGTTTTAAGACAAGCACCTCTATCTAAGCTTCTAACCTGCCCATCATGTGCTCTTTATTTTTTTTCTTTATTTATTTGTTTTTTTCTACACGTGTGAGAACCACATATCTCATGTCATTTAGAATACATTTATCCTGGTATCATTCTGATAGAGAAGTAATTGTAGACTTCTCTTCTTCTGTACTCTTGGGGGATATACAGACAATGGGAAATTTTCTTCAGTCAGGATGTCTGATGGGACATAAGGCAAGTGGTCAGTTAAGTAGGATGAGCCCAAGTCACAGACTCCTTACAAACCCCACCATCAATCTCAGCCTTTTCTGAATCACCACCACCAGCACCTTCAATAAGGATGGCCAGTGAAGAAAGCTTCGAAGTACATGAAACTGCCTGACAGGACAGTATTTTTTTATGGCAGAAACTGCCCTTGCTACCAATGCTCTCACTAGGGCAAGTGAGGGGGAAAATAAGATTATGTTTTTTATTTTTATTTTTATTTTTTCCTTTCTTCCAAGCGGTGTGCATGATGATCAGAACCCTGTAAACTCAGTGGCCCAAGCTATGTGGGCACGTGGTCGTCTTGCGTCATTTTATATGTTTCCAACCTGGAACTCACTCCTGGGTCCTCCATTGGTTCCCCAGTAGCCCAATCTCTATTGCTTGTTTCCCATAAGCTAAGCCTCCATAGTTAACTTTACAGTGCAAGTGAGACATGGGCCAGGTCCTGTGAAAAATGGCAGCCACAATAGCTAAAAGGGGACTGTGGGAGGTTCCTGTGGATAGTAGTAGAAGAGTCTAGCTGTAGATTACCTGGGATCCAGCTGGCTTAGTCAGATCCTCCAATAATCGGTCACCACGAGGCAGCCTCACAAGGGGTCACAGTTGAATGCAGGCACTGCCAAGCAAACCCCCTCATTGAATGAACTTCTCGGCTCATTAAAATCCCCGCACTGTTCACGGTTGCAACCCGGAATCCCAACCCTCATCTTCAGGGTTTGCATTATGTTCACATTCCTTTCAAATTAGGTTTTCATCCGTGTTGGGAAGCTGAGCCCACACCTTCTCCAACCCAACCCCACCCAACTCAACCCAGCGCACCCCCACATTCTTGTTCCTCTATCGGTTTGAAAGAAACCCAATCCTAAGAAAGGAAAGAGGGAAGTAGAATATGAAATCTAATTATATAAAAACACAACTCTAATAATAAAGATTCAACCTCGATGCTTAAAACCATGGGATTCTGTCGGCTAGAAAACCCAAAGTCAACTCCAGCTTTAAGCATTCTTTCCCCGCCCTCTTTTAGCAAGTTGCCAGGAAGCTACACCTAGCCCGTTATTTAAGCCTGGGGCCAAGGGGTGGTGCTGCTATTGCGCCCTTTTAAATACATGATAAATGATATTTATTTGTGGGAAGTGTTATCTGTAAGTACTCTTGGAAACTGGAACCCACTCCCTTTGGCAGGCTCCCTTTGGCTGATTCTTTCCTTTACTCTGTGCTTCTTCCACATGACGTGGGTCGTCTTTGAGTATTATTGGCTTGTTGTGAAGAGGGAACTTTTGTGCACTATTGTTCCCAATTGGTTGTCATGGAATATGAAAGAAAAAACACAAAGCATGTAATTTTTGTCTGGGATTGGGTTTTAGGGTTTGATGATGAACTTTGCGTGGTAGTCATTGGTGGGGATGGAATTGAATCCAATGTGAACACATGTTAGATATTTCAATGCCAAAAAGAAAAAAGAAAAGATATTTTTAAAGGAAGAGAAAACATGGAATAAGGCCTCATTCTTTGTATGAAATTATTAAGTTCCACCAAAGAAAAATTTTCACAAATTTTGGGAAAGTCCTTTGGCTTGCTAGATTGAGGATCGTGTCACTTTACATATTAGAAACTTAATTATAGTCTAAGATAATGGGGACATTAAATAACATGTACAAAAAAAACAACATATCCTTGCCATTAAAGCCTCTTCTAGACTAGATCGATTTAATACAATTTGGTCACTTTTGAGAGCCATGAATACTTGGTTTGTAAGGATTCAATAAAATACATGTATTTGTTTAAAAAATAATAAATGGATACTTGCTTAAGAAAATCAATACCAAAGAAACTAATTGATTATTACAAAGTATTTTAGAAAAAAATTAAAATAAATAAGAAAACTATTAGAATATTCGTACAATACTTTTGTATATATGTAAAAAAAACTTGAGTGGTTA